TCTGTCTCTCATGAATAAATAAATAAAATCTTTAAAAAAAAAAAGGAGGACTCAGAAAGCTTCAAAATAGAATGTCAAGAGTGCAGAATGTGCTGCCTAGCAAAAGATTTAATTATGAGGTTATTAGCTTTTGATTTTTTTTTTTTTAATTTGCTTTCCGATGCTGGCTGACCCTGACCAGGGAAAGCCAGCCTGCCTCGCTCCCGTGGGCCCACATCATTCTGCTCTACCTGCAGCAGGCGGTCCTGCTCCTTCTGCCACCTTTCCTGCCGCTTCCGCTCCTCCTCTTGATCCCACGCCCAGCGGCTTGGGGCACTGAGAGTCGGAACTGGAAGCTAAACCAGTAATAAGAGAAGATGTGCAAACAAAGGAAGAACATATTACTTTGTTCAGTCATCTACTGAAGCACTTTCGCTTACATGAATTATTCATACCATCCTTGGCCTAAGCGGTACCAGAGGAGGTTTGGCTTTCTGGTTCAAAATGGGTCTTTTCAACTTGGAAAGACTACCCACCCCGTGACAAATTCTTATGCAACCGAAAATCAGCGACGCTAGTATGTGCTAATTCAGTCCCACCAAGGTCACCTTGTTTATTCCAAAACAAATGAATGCTACTTACATCAGGAACCACAGAATCTGAGCTTCCTGTGTTGCACCATGTGGGAAAGGAAGAAAAAAAAACATATAAGTCTTTTCATTTCTATGAAATAATTTTTTTCAGAGAGTCATATTAGCTGTTTCTATGCCAGTATACTAAGTGAGCTCAATGTTTTTTTGGTTTCTTTTTAAACCACAACAGTATCTCAGTTTTTCTCTTCAATTCCATCTGTTACTCATCTTCCAAAGTCAAAGTCATTTAAAACAAAGAGAGAGAGAAACTATGGATGCCAAGAGTAGCCCCCTAGTCCTCGGTACTAGAGCTGGACGGCTGGTGTTTTCTGAAGAGGTTTTAGGGTTCTTTTATGAATACACCAGGTAGTACGTCACAGCTGAGCCCAAAAGGGGAAAAAAGAATTTCAAATGTTGTAACATCTACCAAATCCAAATTTTTACTTGCCACTATTTAATGACAATGTGACAGCTCTATATCAGATTTTCCAGATCTCCTTGCTAATGAGCTACTTTATTTAAATAAGACACCACAAAGACATGTTCAAGAAATCCTTCCCATTCCTCTGAAAGGAAAGCACAAATATTCCAACTTCATGTGTAAACTTATGAGCCTAATATTCTTCTTTTTATTCTCAGGGGATGCTACATGAATATGTGTCTGTATGTTGTACAAGAATAATAAACAAGTAAGTAAATTTCATGAAAGGCACTATTGTACAATATTTTTTTAATTTTCCTGAAACCTCAGCTGTCAAATAAATTATTCACTTAAACATTTTTTTTTTTAATAGAAAACTGCTTTGAGACTTAGGAAAATATCCTTCCCTAAAAGAGCCTGTTGAAGAAAACTGAGTGAAAATTAGACCAGAGAAAGAAGGGAATTGTCTTACGTAGCCTGTTTGAGCTAGGAGTATCATACTGTTTCAATTAAATTACCATAGAAAAACAGGAATTTAACAAAAATGTAAAAAACACTAAGGATACGGACACAAATAGACCTCGTACATGCATAGCTGGTGAGCTACTCCGATTTATGGTCAAAAAGAAACCTTATTTCACCAAAGAAAGACTAGTAGATTTAAAAATAAAAAAATCTATGAGTCCAGTAAATATAAGGCAAGTGTGTAAAGGTTTTTAATCACCTTAAAAGTAAGAAACAATAACATTTAGACACCAACAGCACACTCCTCTCTGTGCCATCGCATCTCAAATGTTGGATATTACTTTTAAGTTCTTGATAGCACAAGCACAGCTCCGACTGCATTCATGAGACAGGGCATTAGACAGACATGGGAGGGAGAAGAAATGCCACATGCAGAGCACAGAAGGCAGAGGGACCCAACTACACCAACACAGGGAGGTTCAAAATGCACGTGTTCAGAAGTGCAACCGAAATTTACATTTAATTTACTTCAGAGTTAATAGGGCGGTCCTATTAACACACCAAAGCCATCATTCCAATAGCAATAAACAACTCTGCTCTTTAGTAAGAGCATTTTCCATAACCAAAAGTTAGAGTTTTCAAAAGTTCAACAATTGGGTGTTGGTGTAATCTAATATTATGCAATTGGTAGGAAGCAGTAAGGCGTAAGTGAAGTTCCTCATTTCTTACTGTCACCACCCAGTGGAAAGAAGTGTGTGTTTAACAGCATCTCAATCTTTTTTTTTTTAATTAGAAAAAAAAATTCAGAGGTATACAAAAGACACGCAAAGACCCATTACCACAGAGGTAGACCCATGAACTGTAAGAAAAGCCTGATGACCCTAGGAAAAGAATGGAAATGGGTTATGTTGCTTGGTCACAATGACAGCCAAATTGAAAAGGCTTAATGCCCAGCACCAAAGACTACGAGGACAGAGTGGAGAATGGGAACAATTCCATGAAAGTGCATGAATTGTTATCTTGGTAGTTTACCTTGTTCAAAAAATTGTGATCGCCTTTTTAAGTTTTTCAAAGAAATAGGTTCAGATGCTAGTTGAAAAATAAAAAAAAAAAATGTCAATACCATGTCATTCATTTTAATCTCTCACCACTGGAAACTAAATGGTATTTGACACACCTTTCTAATCCATAGCATTAGTTGTAAAATGACAAAACTGATAGCCATAGAAGATATGGATTATTTCAATGTACAATGACACACATTTTAGTAGTCTATACTACACCCAAATTAGTAATGGAACTAATTATTTTATTAATAAATTCTAGCAGATAGCATCATAGTTTCATAGAAGCCAAAATACTTCCATGCTAGATCACACAGCTTTAGGGAAATGGAAACTAAAATGTTTTGCTTAGGTTAATCAATCCAAAAGCTGGAAGTCCAAGGAAAAGTATTTGTAACTAAGAGTTTTTGCAGTGCTAAGTAAAAAGTGAACTGAGAAATAGTGGGGAGGAAGAAGATAAATTAATACCCAGAGAAAGATAAAATAAAAACAAATGTCCAAATTAAAATATTCTTCTATCTAAAGTATTTGGACTTGGTTTAACATCTTATAGCCACTAACTTTAAGCAAATGGAGTTCAGTCAGATTAAAAAAAAAAAAAAATAGAAAAGAAACATTCTGACTTCTACAGATGTGTTGCAAGGTTATGGCAAATGATTCTTATATTTAAGTTTATTCATAATATGTAAATGCAATTATTACTTCATACTAGTTGGTGCTTACTTGTCTAAAGAAAACCCTCAAATAACAGGCGTGCATATAGTTGTAGTCACTAATGATGAGTTTGGTGTCTTAGCAGTTTGCTTTGCCTGAGTCACTGGCAGAATGGGACCTAGATGTTTTGGATTTAACATCGTAAATCAAAAATAAGTCAGGTTTGTTTTAAAAACTCCTTTGATAAAGAATGCAGTATCAGTTAAGATGCAGTCACTTTTTTTTTTATTATGTTATGTTAATCACCATACATTACATCATTGCAGTCACTTCTAACTATCAGAAATTAAGTACCAAAATAAATCATCAATCAAGGGGAATTTATAAACTTGGTTTGGCTTTGACCTAATGTATTATGAACTGGCAAATGCAGATGCAAAGCCGTCAAACTGCTGTGAAAACCCAGCTGGTGGGAGTCTAGTTTCATGGTAGCAGGAGTTCTGTCTTCTTTGGGTCTTTTTCCCAGCCTATGTGGACCAGATCTTTCTTATTTATTTTATATGCCTAAGGAGTAGCATATAGCATGTGGCAACAATGATTTATGGACAGACAGAAGGAAGAGAGTGATAACTCCACCATACGAGACCTCCCTAGATACGACACCTGCTTTTTCATTACAAATGGGTCCTCTGGCTAACGACTATTATTGCCATTTCTCTATTAATATTAGCTGCCTACAAACTTGTCCCTTTCACAATAAAGGGAGAAAGGAAACCTCATTCATCGTTTCAGATTTAACTAAGATTCCCTCTGCCAACATACCAGAGCAAGAAGGCTAATGGCCTCAGGAAAACCAGTCTTTCTTATTTGACTTAGACACACAGTCACTCAAAGCTCCTGGACACGCTGCCAACCTTTGTTTGTAGTTCCTGAACTATTCAAACCCTGGAACTGAACGCCCTTCCACCTGTCTGCAACTGGATCTGCATGCTAACCTCTTAGTTTCAACTTGCAGTGGGATCAGTTTTTCTTTGACTCACTGATATTAATTTTCATAATAGCAGAACTTGAATGCTGTGACTTCTATATTATAAACCTAGTTATAATGGTGATGTTTACCTTTTGATTCAAAAGTAGTACTTTCATCATGAATTCCATTCATTTCCTTGGATTCAATATTCTGGAAAGGACAAAATGCCAGTTAACAACATTCTTTCCAATTGGACTTTGGGTTTAAATAATGCATTTCCCAGTAGTGAGAATATCTTAACAAGATGAGTTTTACAGGATATTAATGTATTTCTTATAGTTTTTTACATAGCTAGGAAAGTTTTTAAATTTTTTTTAATATTTGTGAAAGGATTAATGACCACCTCTCTATAAGCATGGATGACTTTAAGTTCAATCAGTCATTAATTTTCCAAGAAACATGATGTGCCAAATAATTAAGTTCACTTAGCTTATACTTATGAGTAAGCAACACAAGCATAGAGGATTCTTCAGCATTTAAGCTTTTCTTACACAATGTAGCAGGATCTCCTTATTAGATAAAAGAATATCTTAGGATAACAACAACTATATTTAGGGAGTCAATGTAAACATTTATTTGAAATTTTAAATTTAACTATTGCTTTGATACTTAGAAAAATTTCTACATTGGAATTATTTTTAATCAATGTAATTGAGTATCTCTTAACCACACATCTAAGTCTACCCATCAAATTCATCTACACAAGAACTAAAAATGCTTCATGAGGTTTTAAAATAAGTATAGTAATTGTGTGCAATTTACCCCTAAAGACCAAAGAAAGCATAGAAAACTTACAGTGCATAATTTTACATCATTACTACTTCACATCCCCAAAGATCTAAGAAATGGGTATAATGATGAAGATCAGTAGGAAATACCTATAGAACCACTACGGGATCTTTTGCTTTTCCCATTATATAACTATTACTCTATCAATGAGTACTGCCTTCAGATTGTCAAAAATACATTTTACTCCCATTACTATAAATTAAATGTTTTTCAAGTAGCCTCAAAATTGTTCAAATTCTTCCCCCCCACACACACACACTTCCTACACACACTTTGCTCCACACAAATACTCCCACTTTTCAAAATACTTACAGAATGCTGGAGGCTTTCTGAGAAATCAGTTGTTATTGACAGATTTGAAGATATTTCTGAGTTGTAAATTCCAGAAGTTGCATCAATCCACTTTGTTTCGGGTGAACCTATAATTTTGGTAGCCATACTTGTGAGATTGAGGGTTTTATGCCGTGTAAATGGCAGGGAAGTTTGGTCTTTGCCCCAGTCTGATTGGCACATGATGATCAAGAAATGAGTACACGTAAATGGTGAAGTGAAAAGAACAAAGTTACTGAATGCACACACACAAAATGTACATACAGAAAACATACAAACAAATCAGGTAGTGTGGGAAGGAAGTAAAGAGTGCAGGTGTTTTGACCAACAAATCACCTTCTGAAAACACAAGGGTTAGATCATATTAATAAGGAAAAGACTAGCAAATTTGCTGACACTTTCTGTAAACCAGAACTGAATATCGTATTTTGAGATCATAATTTGGCAGGGAGGGGGAAGCTTAATGCCATTCCCCATCCAACCTCAACAACTAAGAAACACAATAGTAGAATTATACTGCAAGTTCCTTGAGCATGAACAACAGGAATATGACCCACCATGTTCTCTCTTACACCAGCAGTTAGTTATGGTGCTATCGAGAAAGTAAAATCATAGTGTAATTCTTAATACTCAAAATTATTATGAGACTCCTAAATGCAGATGCAATTACAATAGCTTTCAGTTAATACCTGCATTCAGTCAGTATAGCATATCAATCAATCAATCAATCAATAATGTAGAACTCAGTAAATTTGCTAGTGAAAAGTTTTCAGACAGAATAGTCAAGGAGGGAATGTTCAAGATTTGTCTCAGCATAACCACAAAATACCTTGAAGCCAAAAAATTTTTAAAAAATGAGAAAAAAGTTACTGAAGCAAGCTGTTATAACCATTTGCCAAAGACCAGTTCCCCATTGAGAAAGGCAGACAGTGGTAAAACCAACTCACCAGATTTTCCATAGCGCCTGATATCCATTACTAGGTTTCCAGTTTCTTTAGCATTAGCCATGGTTGCTTCCCACTCTTCTGTGTCCTTATATGAAAACTTGGTGTTGTTAATAGCAATAATTTCATCATCTACCTGTAGCTGAGAAAATTCTGCTGGGCTACCTATATAAAGCAAAATAAATAATATAACCAATAACATAAAATTCCTAACAAAAAAAATTCACATCCTGCTAGTCATTGCTTAGAGGGAAAAAAAATGACTTTTTAATCCCAACTAACCATTCTTGGATTTTTCAGGTAGAGCAGAATCAGGAATTTTTTTTAAGTTATCAAATATTTGAGTACCTACAACATACAAAGCACCAAAAGCATTTTTTATTCTATAGTATGTATCTTCATTAACATGTAAAGGAGGAATAAGCTCATCTGTTCAATAAAATTTCTTTATTACCTTCCTAAGAACAAAGAAAATTTTAAATTATTTTTAAATTAAAGATGTGAAATACATTGTACTTTAATTGAGCTTCCAAATCCAAATGTACTCTGGAATGGATAAAAAAAAAAAAAAGGCAAGGCTATTTAAAACTGTTTACAATTAGCACTTACCATTATCTAATTAAACAGTCTTTTTGAATTTTCAAAAAAAATAACTAGAGTTAGCATGCAATTTTATATAGCTAAAATATGTAAATGAGGAACTCCTCTTAACTACAATAGGTTGATTGTAGCCTCTGTGGTAATATTTTGCTCAGGGTTCTTGGGACTGACTTGGTAGAACCCTGGGTGGGGGAGGGGTACTCCTTTTGTACAAGTCCTGAAGCATCCTGAGGACTCCATGGGCTACAGATATATTAGGATGCTCAGAAAACACCAATTTATTATAGAGCATATATATATCCACCACAACCACGGCCAATCATGGACAGTTCTTTCAAAATTTTCAGTTAAGTGTTGCACGGAATCATTTCCAAATATTAAACCAAAAATTTTGACAAATGAATTCTGTAAAGGTCACAAGATTAAGATTCTACAAAACTAAAATTAATTAGGCAAGGAGAAAAAACGGTATTAGTCTCAGGGAAAAGGATGCATCTCCTCACTTTACTCCTATATTTTTCACATGTGTTTTCTCCTCCTATATCACATAAACTAATTTCTGGAGGGTTTTTTGAACAGCATAGGATAACAAAGGGAAGAAAGTTGAGTAGAGCCAAATCTATGATTTACCTGCTTCGACTGATGCAACGAAGATCCCAGAAAAAGCCCATTTTACTGTAAACCCAAAGTCAAGACCGCTCCCAGGCGTCTGGTTTATGCTGATTCTCATATCACTGAACTGATCCTGAAAACAAACACGAAACGGTGGGATCAGGTGTCCCTGGCACCCACATGGAGGAAAGTCTATCCATGAAAGAAGGGAGGCTACATGCAAGGTACACTTGAATTATTTCATGATAAACCAGAAGCATCAATCTTTTTAACTTGGGTTTGGTAAAACCTTCATTTATATACATATCAATGAGTTTATTATTTTTCTGCTAAAACAAGAGAAACCTTCACAGCAACAGATGTTTTTCTTCACATTCGTTAATAATCAGCTGGGCATTAATAAGGCTTGGGCATTTGCCCACTACACAATTGGGTTTAATTTATAGACCATTTGCTATTACCCAGGAAAGGAGTGAGAAGGCGTGTTGTGTGTGTTGTTTAGTGGTACAAACTTGCTGTTAGTAAATAAGCCCTAGAGATCTAATGCACAGTACAGTGAACATACACAACACAGTATTATAATCCAACTTGCTAAGAGACTATAACTTAATTATTCAAACCACTAAAAAGAAAGGATAATTATATAAGGTGATTGAGGTGCTAATTATCACTACATTGGCAATCATATTACAATATATAAATGTGTCAAATTAACATATTGTACACCTTAAATTTATACAATGTTACATATCATATATTCCAATACAATAGCATTTTTGGAAATGCAAAAAAAATATTTAAATGCTTTTTAAAATGCCACCATACTTATTAAAAAGGTATCTCCAACATTTAACATATTTAGCTGAATAATTTCGAGGGGTTCATCGACACATGACTCAGGTACGTGTAGAGCTCAACTAGGACTGGGACCACCCCCTAATGGGCACCTGAAGTTTTGGCAAGGCGACTGTTTGCCCCATTGCTACATGAAGATCGAGGGGTGAGGGCAGAGCTGCCAGACAAGCTGCAAAATGCAGAGCTACGTCATCTCTGAGGAACCAGGGTCAGATGCCAAGAGGACCCCTACTGAGACACCGAAGCAACAAGTCACAACTTCTTCGAAGTCACATCAGCCACAACAAACCCCAGAACAACAGCCTCCCAGACAACAGACCTCTATTTCCAACTCTGTCACTATCCTACACAGCAGCAAATGCTCAGTTTCACAGACTTGCAGCCATTTTCCAAAACAAATGTTTTAAGTTGTAAAATACACGACGTCTGTGAAAATTTCAATTGCCTTTCATAATTTATATGTTTTGTTTTGGGTAAAGAGCAGACATGAATTTCAACTTGAAATTCCCAGCCTAGTTTCAGTCTTTGATTTAAAATAATTAATAACTTAGACTTACTGTTTAAAAAGGAGAAGTTCTCCCTAAAGCCACTTTATTTTCCAGGAAAAAAAGACCTACAAATTCTCCAGTTCAATGTGGCAGTTAAAACTGAACCTAGGGCTAACTGGGCAATTCATAAAGCTTTATGCTGAAGTTTTTCGACCTCTCGAACAAGTTTAAAACCCAAGTGACTCTATTCTACAAAAAACTGATATTACGTAAGAATTAGAAAGAAGGCAAGGAAGGCACCGAACCAAGAACTTACTACCTTCTGTGGACACAGAAATACTATAATAATATTCACTTATTCATCTGGTCAACATACACTTATTGTGCATCTATCCTGTATAAGACACGGGGCTTAGTACTTGGGAAATAAAGATGGATCAGGCATGGTCCTTGCTCTTGAAAAATAATTACTGACTCTTCCCAGAGTTGAGTATGGAATTATTTTAAGAAAAATCTGTAGCTAATAATATAGAAAAGTTTTCATCAGAAAGCTTGTAAAGCAGTTTAAATACAGGAACCCTCATGCAGTTAGTGAAAACATGTTAATAATCAGCCTGATGAACACCAATCTCCAGAATAAAACTCTGCTATGAATAGAAAAAATTAGTGGTTAGTTCTTCTCTTTAACCGAAACTACCATACACTTAAATTAGACATGACTCAATGAAAGTAAGTGGTCATCTTTGCTACACTTACCCTCCAAAAAAAAAAAAAAATTTTACTTAAGGCCAAGTAAAGCACAGAATCTACTGCTATATAATGGGAGAGGACAAATGATAGGTTAGATATGCAAGATACTAATTGATGTTTTTTATCTTGAAGAATAAAAGACAGGATGGAGTTTTAATAAATAGTCTCAAACTACATAAAGAATACTTTGTGGGAGACAGCAAGTAAACATTATCCTTTTCTACCAAATATAGGATAAAAGAGAATGAGCTTAAGCTATAGATGAAAGAGTCTCACAGCTTTATTAGACCAGAAGAATTGTCTCACAAAAGGATATTCTTGCCTTGGAAATAAACCTCCACTTGACCATATTAAATAAAAGAGCAGATAACCACCTCTCTGAAACAGTTAACAGCGGACAGCCTCACTGTGGCTAAGCCTGGCAGACTGTAGGTGTGGGGGTCCTTAGGACTGTAGACAGGCAAAGGAGAAAAGAACCACAGGAGTGATTACAGGTCCATTTCTATCAATAACCAGGTGACCTCAGGCATGTCTCAGAGTCTGGCAGGGTCTTCTCTCTCATAATGACATGGATTTGCAAGCTTTTTGTTTTGCAAAACCCTATTTTCAAATGAAAATCTTATGTAGACCAGCTCCCTCCCAAACCAATACATAGAAGGGATTAGAATGAATAGCTATAATTTCAATTACAAGCTATAATTTCAATGGCGTGACCTGCCCATGATGGCAGTTCCTCAGGCATCTCTCTGGAATCCTAGGTCCTTGAATTAGATCAGCCCTTAGACTCCTTGCAGGGGAACATATCTATAATTATAGTCAAGCACAAACTGTTCAACAGTGATTTCAGTTAGGATTTCTACTTCCTTATTTATCTCTGCAAGATACATGCCATGTGAGTATTCCACAAAGGATCCGTGCCTCAGAAGACGATGATGGGGGAATTGCTGCTTGAACTGGATAGAACCAGAAATATAAATTCTTAAGGGAAATCTAGATCCCTGATGACTGATAAAGTGGTTCCAGTTGTCTATGCCAGAAAAGATAAAGTATGGTTATCAACATATCACCATTTAAAAATAATTTCCCTCAGGGGCGCCTGGGTGGCTCAGTTGGTTAAGCGACTGCCTTCGGCTCAGGTCATGATCCTGGAGTCCCGGGATCGAGTCCCGTATCGGGCTCCCTGCTCGGCGGGGAGTCTGCTTCTCCCTCTGACCCTCCTCCCTCTCGTCCTCTCTGTCTCTCATTCTCTCT